CTTGGTTTGGGCCCCTTTTGCAGCACTTACTGCAATTACTTTTGCACGATATTCTAATTATTCGAGTTTCACCTGTATATTTCACCCTCTAGGGAAGTATGAGCTGGTCCTCGCAGCTGCTGTTGGTTGTGATGGATCGTACTAACATTGCTTACAGGAGTCCATGGGAGTGCCTGTATGCTGTACTGTAACTGAGCAATGAATGTGGCTGAGGAGAATGTGAGAAGAAGCTAGATATGTGTGTGGACTTAGTAGCTGCTGTGCTGATATAAAGCCTAACAGCGTGGTTTTATTTATTTTTATTTTTTTTGAGGAGAAATTACACCAAAAACAAACTTACAACAAATTGACAAACATTTGTGGGATCCAGCACACACTTTTTAGCGTCGGGTATTATTTTTGTTTTTGATATAAAATGCTACAAAGTAAAAGAATAAAGCATTGTACATGAATTGTAAAAAAAAAACTGATTAGGGTTAACACGAGGGTAATGAAAGGCCAGTTTTGTAAGAATATACAGATACCCAATCTGTCAGGCTTAAAAACTGTGTGCACCCGTGAAAAAGCGACAAAATACGGTACCCCTAATTGTACATGCGTGGGCTTTAAAAGCCTGAACAGGTCATCAATTTTAGCGTTGTCCATTCATATTGGCGCTAAACTGTTTGCTCTCACTCTGGTGCGTGCAGTGATACTTAACGTGTAGCACAATCGTCGTTTTGCTTCGTAGGTGCACCTGATGCATGTTTACATTAGTACGCGTATGTGTCACGGGTGGGGTTGGGTACCAGTTTAATGGCCTGTGGAAGCAATCTGGCCAGAATCGCTTCCAGTGTAAAGCTGCGGATAGTTTTACTGGGACCCACAGCCAGCGCTGTAAGGGATCTGGTACTAGAAGCAAAAGGGTTAAAGTGACTCTGTTCGGCATTCAAAAAAATAAAATGTGACAAAATAATGCTTTTGTCTGTGCACACAGTTCCGGATGCAGCGCCCAGGTGGCCCAGGCCAGAGAAGAGCACAGATTAGCCTTGTGTAACTATAGGTTTTCAGGAAGTTGATAGCTGGCCCAGGGAACAAGCGTGTACTGTGGAAGGCCACGAGGTAGTTAACATACATGAATTCAAGGTAGAAGGTTGGGTGTGTTGAGGACAAGTTTACACTTGTCTGTTTTCCCAACAGTAATCCAAACATGTTAGAATACATGAAAATGCATTTAAAGTAGAACTCCCATTTATTCTGTTACTAATTCACACCTATGCACTGCAGCTTAGCAAATTGTGAAAAACTAGGACATAATTTCAATGCATTTACACTTGTTAGAGTGGAAGTGAAGATCGGAAAGAAATTGCAGATAGTCAAGCTTTACGTTGCTGCCATAAAAGCTTCTTGCTGAAAAATACCAATTCTTTGCCAAGTAACTGTTACTGTATACGTATTTCATCTGTTTTCCAGGAGGTCAGATTTATTGTGCAGGTTTACATGAATGTACCAACAAATCAGATGAATACATCTTGTCTAAATTTGTATCGGCGCAGTGTATGTTATAATAAAGGTCCAGAGTCATTTAGACTTCTACACAAGTTTCTATGTTAGAGGCCTCAGCGCAATGTGGAATTCACTTCCTTAGGACAGAAGTATATTTCCTGGCCATCTGATTTCCTCTGATGTTTAAAATAAACCGTGTGCACCACATACTGGGAAGTCATGGTCTCTATCATTGTTTACAGCATATCCTGTGACATCCTCAGGGATTTCCCTCTGTGTAAAAAGGATCGCAAAGGGTCTGATTCACATTGTCCTCCTAGTGTTTCTAAATAAAACTAATTGAATAATCTTGATGTAAATAATCTAATTAAAATGTATCTGAGTACTACGGATTTATACGTCCTAGAATGTGCACATGTAGGCATTCATATTTGTTACTATACTCTGCTAACTCTTCCCCTGTCAGTGCAGAAGCTGGGAAAGGGGGGGGGGAGCATTGGCAGGGGCTCTGCTGCTCATTTTCTATAAGTATAGCCGCCCAGATCACTTGTAGCAGCCTACTTGTGTGGCGTACCATCACCACCACCCTCCGGAGGTTACACAGGTTGAGAACCACTGTTATACAGGATCTGCTTCCTGCTTTGCAGTATTGCGCAATGGTCGGGCGTCTTACACACCTGGTGAACAATGAATCTTGCCGGTATTTCTACAAATGGTGCTGTGTTTATGCCATAATTGCATCGATTAACAAAACCATTACCATCTCCATGAGACACTTTTCTCTTTGTACACCTCTGACAATGACCTCTTATCCCTCTGGGTATATTTGCATACCTCATGCCTATTTACCTTGAGGCATATTTGAATCAGGAAAATAAAATATAACTTTCTACATTTGTGGCAAATCTCTGCCTTCAGTCAAATAAAACCTCAAACTTGGTGAGCCCAAACAAAACATCCAAAACTCAGAGCACTGCAAATTACCCAGGGGGGTTGTTGGGCCATTTGGGGGTTCAAGGAAACTTCATGGTCTTCTTCATGGTGGTAACACAGGCCAAAATATTCTGAAAACTAGTTTGCACCTGCCTAATGTTGTATTTGATGTTTTGAATGTAAACTTGATCATAAGCCCTTTTGCTCCTTTTGTAAGAGCGCTAAAGCTTAATTTTTTTTTCTGGTGTCCCAGGAATACATTTACTAATATACTCTGACACAAAGTCTTCATGTAGCGGGCTTGGGGGGGGCCGTCAGAGGACTACATTTCCTTTTTTTTTTTAATTGTTCACAGATCAGTGATATTACTAATGAGTGCAGCTTGCCGGCAAATGGGGCCCCCCAACTGCAAATCTGTGAATTTACTAATGAGTTCACTGGACTGAAAATGGTACCCATGTATAGCTTTATCTCCCGCTGTGTTTGAAGACTTTAACATTCTCTCCAAGTACATTTCTTAATATGGATATGGCGTTCAGGGGTAGGGTTTGAAGTTGGTAAAGCAAGAAAAAGAATCTTAAGCTAATCCAGTTAGGGAAGCCTTCGCTGATCAAACATGTTCATAGTAGTAAGTGTTGGATGTGGAGAATAGGTGTTGAAATGTTGTGAAGATTTTTTCCCCTGACCATGTGGTGAACACCTGTGAATGTTGTATTCCTTTGCGTCTTCCTTCCTCTTTCTGCTCATTACGCTGTTTGCCCTTCTCAATGAAGTTCATAACTGCACACTAGGAAAATCACTGCAAGACCTCTTATTTTAATGTCCTTGTCTGTACAATGTCTTTCCTAGTAGTTAGGGGACTAGACAAATGACTCCTACTTTACTTTGTCTATAGTGTTGGGTAACTTGTTCTGTTCATCTGCTCTTGTGATAAGAGAATGGTAAAGGGAACGTAAAGTGATTTTGTGCATTTCTTTTTTGTCAGGGGTACAATAAAATGATGTGTGTATGCATGTGCGTGTGATAGGTAGATGAATAGATATATTATTTTGTCATTTGGGAAATATTTTACATTTAATATTAGGGATGCACCAAAACTTCGGCCGGAAATTATACAATAGGCAAAATGCAAATGGTAGGGGAAAAAAAGCAACCAGAAATCCGATGCATTTCCTTCTCTCCCTGCTGGGCACCGGCTGCAAGCATTGGTCTGTGTCTCCTCTGATCCCCACTGCTCTCCCCCTGCCTGTGTCAGCAGAGGCAGTGGGGATCAGAGGAGGTACAGAGCCAATCCAGCTGCCAGCACCCAGCGGGGAGGAAAGAAACTGTCAGGACTGATTGGTGTCAGTGGGGAGGATCAGCAAATATGTGAAATACACAGATGTTTGTAAATAACTGGGGACACAGTAACTAAATACTATGTCCTCAATTATGAATGAACAAGTGCTCTACATCACATCCTGTCCATTCATGATTGTAGACATAGTAACTCGCACTATATCCACGATGTATGAATGGACAGGACAGGAGCACTCGTTATAGAGGGTTCCTGTTCATTCATAACGGGCTGCAGAAAAAGATTTGCACTGTGCCCTCAATCCTTCTTTTTTTTTTTTTCTATTTAAAAAGGGAAATATCAGGGGTCTGTTTACACCCCTGATTTTTCCCTAAATCTCCTAACAGTAAAGTAAAAAAAAAACCCATAAAAATAAAGTTTAATTGTTATTTTCGGTTTTGGCCTGACAAATTTTGAAGTTTCGGTCTAAAATTTTTATTTTGGTGCATCCCTATTTAATGTTTCACACAGTTTATTTTGAACTTCCTAACAGACTGGTGAAGAAAAGCTGGTTTACAGGCCTCAGTAGCTCTAGCTGAAATTTACACATACAAGTGAATGAGTCGGAGCAGCGATTCCTCTTTTATCAGGTGGTTCTGTCCACAGGTTCCAAAAAATGACTCCTGTAAAAGTGTGTAAATATACTTGTACATGTTAAAACAATAAAATAGAATTGACCTTGGAACCATTGTAGTTTCCTTTTCAACAGCTGTTTTTTTAATCAAAGAATATTGAGGATTCTCATTCCTATAACAGCCAGTGAAATTGACCCAGCACAGTGTTGTAGTGTGACAGGGAAAAATCTGTTTGCTATAAGTAACAAAAAGCGTTTATTCCTTTATCGCATCAACCAAAGTATGGCAGCTGCAGAAATCGGGGATCCTGCTTTAGCTGGCTACAATCATTACAGTTTGACTGTTAATCTTCTTTAGATTTACCAACAACTCCTTAAACATTCAAATCCATGTATATCTAATCAGGTGTGCCCTTCTTCTTTACATTTGTTTAAACAAGCGAAGATTGTAAAATTGAATTGTAATGTGGTTGGGCAGCTTTAACACACATTGCTTTATCACACAAGTGAATTTGAGTGAATAGGGTACACATGCCAGATTTTAAACCATCCACATGGACAAAGCCTCTCTCCAGTCTTGCTAATGCTTTTGCATAATTTTGCCCAGTGCTAACATATTTTTTTTTCAGTAATTCTGTCAAGTATTTTAAAGTACCTTCTTTGTCTCCACAGATATGCTGTCAGCCCTGAGAACATTATCCTGTATGGTCAGAGTATCGGCACAGTTCCCACAGTAGACCTGGCCTCACGCTATGAATGTGCAGCTGTCATACTGCACTCCCCTCTTATGTCTGGACTGCGTGTTGCTTTTCCTGATACTAGGAAGACCTACTGTTTTGATGCCTTCCCCAGGTAAGGGCCATTGCTTCATTTTTTTTCCCAGTGTTGGCAGCCCCATTGTTTCACGTGCCAACTTCCACCATTTGTATATGGCTGTCAGCCGGTATGGGAAAAAATAAAGGTTTGCTTTAATAAGCTGTAGTAATTCCCATTGGACCCACGTTTTAGTGCACATGGGAGATGTAAACCGGTATTTGCCATTTCTTGGGTGAGTCACGCTCTAGTTTCTTGGACAGAAAGACCTTTTGTTACCTTATGCTGCAAACCGATTACTGTTTTTGGTTACTCTAGCCCAAGTCGGGATCACATGGTCTCAAACATACAGACTCGTTCTCCCTAAAGGTTTTGTAAATGCATGTTTTTAGCTGACATTTCAGGTGTGCCATATTCACATGCTTTGTTTAAAGCCCAGTTAAATCCCTACTCCTTTTTTACCTCTTTATGGACTTGTATTAACAGATCTACTGTGTGAATGATTTTTGCTTAGAAATATCTTTATACCTTTTTCTGATCATACATCACATAAGTGATCTGGGGGCTGTATACCCACCCCAAATTACTTGTACAAAACAAGCGGCAGCTCCCCTGCTCTACATTTGGCCCTGCTTTCCCACAGAAGGGATAATGTAGGAAAAAGCCTGCCCGGAACTTCATGTCCCAGGTGTCATGTGATAGGAATTGCGCTCCACTGGACATATTACAATGATACACACAGAATATGATAAATAAACCAGTTCGTATGGCTAATTAACCTCCTCCTGCAAACCCACAAGGTGATAACACTTGACATTGAAGGATAATTAGCCGTGTAGGAACTTGTTTTTTTATCATTATATTCTGTATCATTTTAATATTGTTTCTCAATAAAACATAATCTTATCGGCGTCATACAAAATTGTCAATTCAGTCTCGCCGCATTAAATACCCCAATTCTTATGTTCTCTATGGTGTTAAATACTGTAGTGAACATAAGAATTGACTGGCAGGTTATTTTTTACGTTGCTGATAGACAATCCAAACCTACATGTTAATGTTTGTGTGTGAAGATTTATGCCTAGTGAGAGCAGGGCTTGCTGGGAGATGAAGAATGATCTCCCTTTGACATTCCACCCCCGTGTGTGACCTGTCCTTTGCCTTCTCACCTTCTCTTCCGTATCGCTGCTCTAAGTACCAGGGGAAGGTGGGTGGGGCCTCTGAGGGTTGTCGGCAGAATTGCCTGATGCTCCGTTCTTCGTTGCTCTGCTCAGCAAGGCCCGGTTCACACCTGTCGTTTTACAGCGCGTTCCTACGCGCTGTACAACGCTCAACATGTGAAAACCAATTATTGCCTATGCACATGGTTCCCACCTGGGCGTTTTACAGCGCGTATGCCCAAAGAAGTACAGGAGCTTCTTTGGGGCGTATTTGCCACGCGTATCAATTAGGATACAGCTGGATAGCCCTCGGAAACGGGCGTTTGTCGCGCGGTTCTTTTACCACAAATCGCTTTAAAAATGCGCGGCAAATGTGCATATTCTGTACGCCTAGGTGTGAACCCAGCCTAAAAATAACAAACTTTAACTTCACCTGCATGTCCCGGGCATCGGGCGATACAAATTCCGCACCCCTGAACCCCTTCCAATGGAAGGGTAAAGTTCTCTCCTTTCCAGTAATGGCTTCGCTTGATAAGAGCAACAGTACTTCCTGGGCTTTAGCATCAGGCTTTGGTTTCCCACATCTGCAAGGTTGCTGCTCGGTCTTCTGTAAATGGCTTTGACAAATTTTACCAGGTAGACCTTAAGGCTGGGTTCACACTTGGGCGTTCGTAATATGCGCGTTTTGGGGCGCGCGTTTTTACCGCGATTTGTGACAAGCGAGCGTTTACGCTATCAGACTGTTTCCTAATGGGTACGCACGGAAAAACGCCCCAAAAGAAGCTCCTGTACTAGTTCGGGCGTTGGGCCCAGGTGGGAACCTTGCCCATTGGGATTAATGGGATTTCACTGCTTGAGCGTTTTACAGCGCTTCGATCAGCGCTGTTAAACGCCCAGGTGTGAACCAGCACTTAGGCCTCTTGAGATGCTAGCTTCGGCTACAAGGTTCTGCAGGCAGCCCTCTGAATTGTCGGCCGCTCTGTTATAAATCCCAAATTGGGGTTAGATGTTTTTACAGGCCTGTTAGTTGTTGTCCCATACATTCAAGATTTAACTCCTTGTGATTTACTCCAAGAAACTCCATTTTACAAACTTTTTATTTTCTTTCAGTTAAAAATGTAGCTGCTCACACACTTCCTGTGGTCTGTGCTGACGTAGCTAACAGACATACCCCTCATCATAAGGGACCTCGTGCTAGACTTGTATTGCAGAGGAAGTTGGTGGGCATCAGACAAGTTATATTACTGAGTGCTGATTATGGAGTACAATAGGTCTACCTCTGGTGCCTGTTGGACTGCATGGGCCATCATATGGGGTTAAGTCTTTTCCCCATAGTTCTCAGGGTAACGGGAGGACACAAACTAGCGTCCTCCCGTCACCCTAGGCTCGGTATACAGCTCGCTGTATACTGAGGCGCCGCAGTATACCGCGAGCACCTGCTCGCGGTATACTGAGACGCTGAAGCGGATCCCGACAATTGTGCCGGGATCCGCCCAGCTGCGTGACTGACAGCTGGCTCTGCCTATCTAGAGGCAGAGCCAGCTGTACCTGCCCCCTCCCCCGTTCCGCCAGTCAGCGCTGGCGGATCGGAGCAGGGATGGGGGAATCCAGCCCCTCCCCTGTCACGGCAGAGAGCCGTGACTGGATCGAGAGGTTAGCGAACGCCGGTATATGTTCGCTCACTTCCCGATCTACTGAGCCGACCTGTGACAGTCTCATTGTCACAGGTCGGCTAGAACTATGAGGTGAGTGAAAAGCACTCGCCTCATAGTTCTCCTTTTAAAGTGATGGAAAGACTATGAATGTGCATTGCCATTGATCACTATATAACACAACTTTTACTTGAAACTGCACCATAGATATTGCAAGCAGGACCATTTTCACCGCACAGCACCTAAAACCTGCAGATGTGGGCAGGGTGTTAATCAAACCTCTTAGACCCTAAACATTGTCAAAGCTAACAATATGGTTGAAATACAAAAACCATGTTGTACCTGCAAATTCATTTGTGTATCCACATAGAGCAACTTGGTCTCCTTGCCCAAATTGGCATTTAGTATTACTGTTGAATGGCAGGAATGAGGCTTAGTGCTAGCAGAGGATCAAGTCTAAAGAAACCTACAGAAATTATAATCGAACAGCCCTATCACTGCATCATAGGTACAAAAAGGTGCATCCTTGCTGCCACTACAGATTCCTAGTTCTTCCCACAATGCACTGCACTGATGGGGGTGATTTTCTTGTTTCGTCCTGTGCAAGTTTTGCCTTTCTCATTAAGTTGAAACATGCATATAAATATTGGGGCCTCCTTAGGCAGAGGTTGAAGCCCCGTGTACAACGCTGGCCTGGACTCCAAGGAGCTCCATAGGAATACAGAAACCGATATGAAGATTTTCATTGCACTTGCAGACACCACAAGGACTTCAGCAGTTTTAGTTTTGGAAAATGTTTAGGACATGTTTTAAGTTGGAATGCATCTAAAAACATAGTATGTGAGGTTTAAGAAAAGCCGATTAACATACCATAAACATACAGAAAAAGCATATTTGTGCTAATGGATTTTAATTTGGTTGCTAATTAAAGAACAATAAATACACAATTTCCAAAGAATTCTTTAACTTTTTATGGTTATTAAACCCTTCGGTTTGTCAGGATTCAATTATCTGCCGTTTCACGGACTAGATGCTACAGCTGTGGGGGAACAGTCCACACACACTGCTGTTTAAATATTGCCTTCCCCAGAAGTCGGAAGCAAAGTTGGCCAAGGGAATGTTTCCAATTTTCACAAAATGCAAATATTATTTAGCTGGAGCAAATGAAACCCAGTGGAAGAAATGGCACTATTAAATAAAAAGAACTTGGAGCAATGATAACAGACTCCTGTACTGCTTAACTTGTTTCCTCAACAGATTCATCCCAGCAAAACTGCCTGAAAATGATTCTTCAATGTCATTGAACCTGCGTTACTTGAACGAGATATTCCATGAAAGTTTATTCATACTTTTTTGTATTAGTGAATTTCTGAGTTTCAAGGATTTTGGATTTAAGGTTGTTAGCATAAGGACACATTAACATGGCACCTTGTGAATTCCCTCTATTTGCCAAAATCTGCCACTCTCAAAACCTCACAGCAAACACCTCTGTTGCCTGCATCCCCTGCCTGTCTGAGGGTTTACAAAAAATTCCACTAAACATAAATTGGATCATTTTCTTGTATGTGTTTATCTAAGAGAGCTTTAATGAATTCATGGGTGAATATGTAATCATTTCATTTAATTGGCACAAGACGTTTTCAAACTAATGTGTTAAATGGAGCAGTATCTTCACATGCAAGGTAAATTCTTGTCTAGCAATCCCATGGCAGAAAACTGACAAGTGTTTTGCACTATTCTCGCCTATATGGCAGCTATAGCCTAGATAGCACCTCAAAGTGACATCAATGTAAAATCTGAATTTCTGTAGTGACATAGCTGTTTTTAAACATATAGGGCTGTATGCAATACAAATTCAGCAACCATAGTCAAAAGTAAGTATTTGTATCCAGAAAGAACCTAGTCTGAATACTGAATACTCAATTAGATTAGTAAGCATGTGCGTTCTGAGGAAGGTTTGCTTAGTTAAATAAATGACTACTATCAAAATGTATTTTTTAAGTTATACTTACCTGGCAGCACCTCTGAACAGTCATGGGCCCCTTAGGGCACTGTCAAAGGAGTAATATTCAGATAAGGCCACTAACAGTGCCCATGTGACCCTTGAATGTGATGTGGGTGAGTTCTGAAATGTTCCAAAGCTGCTGGCAGGTGAGTATGGCACAATTGCAATGCAAGCACTCTGAATTGCAAGTTAAAAATTGTGCATATTCATATCCAGTCTTGCATATTTTATTCATCAGCATTAATGGGAGCTGATGAAGAGGTGAAAGCAGAGTTCTTTGTAGGGTACTATGTGTTATTCTTTGCTAGGAATCTGGCGTGTAATAGTGCACTTGTGTCCTTCCCCCTTTCCTTTTTTTTTTTTTTTTTTTCCCCAGCTTCTTCTCTGTCCAGTGATTGTTTATGCCCTTATGCAAATATAGGAGTTTAATCTTGTACTGATTGGGAGGTGTGGAAAGTCTTTGAACACTGAGCTGTTCAGCCAGCATAGCTGAAGCCTAGAGGTCATGGACAGTTCCAGGTCCTGCACTGTGCTGAGAGACCTTCTGGAAAAATCACAAGACTATATTTGCAAGTGTGCATGCATTATTTTTCATTTACAATTTCATCGTTTTTGCATTAAATATAAATCCAGTTCTGTTTTAAGGTTATTTCTAATTTTTTCACTTTTAATGGAACTTGATGGGGCTTTAAAAAAATTTTTTAAGCCTGGTGGTCATTTAATACAAATGTTGACCTTTTATTTATATCAATATTGCACTGATCTATATTTAAAAAGTTGACATTTGTGAAGGATTGGATTTTTAATGCAAATATTCCTCATATTCTTATTAGTGTTTGAGAAAGCCAAAATGCCAAGGAGCCAGTTCACCTTATAGTAAAAAAAAAAAAAACTTGCAACAGGCACCTAAGTTAATAAGCCTTTAGTGGGAACTGTCTCTGACAACCACCAAAAAAAAAATGTAAATTCAAATGAGCCTGATAGAAATGGTTAGTGTACAGGCCTTTTCATAGACTACAATCATTCCTAATGGCATAAATCGTAACAATGACTTCCATATTTCCATGGCCCCCTTGTGTGCAGTAGATTGTGTAATGCTTACCATGTGTAGCTGAAGCCCTTATTCCGTTTACTTGTCATTATTATATTGCTATGTGTATATGTTGGGGTCTTCTGATTTAACTCTTACTACTTTCTTTTGTAGTATCGACAAAATTTCTAAGGTCAGCTCTCCAGTGCTGATAATCCATGGAACAGAAGATGAAGTGATTGATTTCTCTCATGGCCTGGCAATGTACGAGCGCTGTCCACGAGCCGTAGAACCACTCTGGGTGGAAGGAGCAGGGCACAATGACATAGAGCTGTATGCACAATATCTAGAAAGACTAAAGCAGTTCATTTCTCATGAGCTGCCTAATTCCTGAGAAATTCCTCCAGTCTTACCTCAGTTACTGTGAATGGCAGAAGCGACGAGTCTTAGAAGACATGTCCATTATGGTGCTGGGCAATCTCTTACCACTGCCCAAAGACACCCTCAGAGGGGTTGGATGATGCTGGTTAAGCATCCAGCGGCACCAGTCTTTCTTTATTTTTTATTGTCTATGTGCTATCAGCTGCTGTAACTTAATCTCAGCCTTTAGAAGAGTCCGGGTGGATCTGGAACCTCTTTTTTTGTAGAGCACACTTTATATTCTGGAACATGTTTACACAGCATCATTTTGAAGGACGCCATTCTACCACGGGTTAACCCAGTCGCAATAGCTGTGGGTCAGTTGGCTTTGTTTTCTGGATCTGATGTACAGCATTACCTGATAATTCGTATCATCTTTAACAAATTATTTCTTTTTTTAATTTAATTTTTTTATTTGAACTCAATCAGGAGGAAATTGCTTATTTGGTGAATTGTATAATGTGGTATCTTGCTGGGGCAATCTTTTCATGATTTGTAATTCCCTTTTGCGGGTTTTTGTTTCCAAGATGATATTTATCCACAATAAATTATTTCAAGTTAATATCATGCAAGAAGACAACTGAATAGAATTCATAAATCAATAATTTAACACTAAGACATTCTGAATGCCACTCATGGGCTGTTTGTGTAAGCAAAATGTAATGTTAAACTGTAAATGTGAAGATTTATTTCTAGAAGAATGATCGAAGTTCATCTGGTGTTCTGTTTTTGTGATTTCTTTTTTCCTCCCAACGCTTTTGTTCTTGTCTCATGTACGGTTATTTTCTTTTTCAGCACTAGAATCTTATGGGTTTTGTCTTGTTCTGTCATTTTTCTTTTGTCCTTAGATACAGAAATGACTGATCTGTTTTTTAAACTACTTTGAAGGGTTTTCTTAAGTTTTTATCCCTAAATTAATTTTTTGCTATTAAGTGATTTTTTTACGATACTTTCTGGGAGAAGAAACTTTCTGAAGAAAATTCAAAATCCCCTTTGTAATATCTTTTCCCTTTTTGACACTGGAAAGGCACAAAAATATGTTTAAAGGGCAACACTGCATTCTCTGGTCTGTAAATTTGAGTCTTTGCTGGGGGTATAAAGGCTCACTTGGTCTTTGGTTGCAGAGGCCATAAGGGACTGCTTATACAATGCCTCCTGCAATAAAGAGAATTGTAGACCTGAAATAATATACTGTGAGACTTTGTTTTGTCAAATGAAAAGAATATGCTCTGATTTTGTTTCTTGTTGCTTGAGGACAGTATGTTGGAATAAAGAATGCATGGAACGGAAAAACTAGAGCTTCTGGTGTTTTTATTTCTATCAATTGTGTTCCTTTTAACTTTGGCCTGACTTAACAAATACATGAGTAACGCCACTTCTACACCAATTAATTACATGCTTCACACATTCACGTGTAATACCTTGCCTTCTGACATTAGCACTTACCCTTTTGAGTCAAATTACAGCAAAGCCATGTATCCTATTTTATAGCAAACCAAAATGAAGTGATTTATAGGTGTTGTGAACTGTGCTGTAAAACTAGAATCCCATATTGTTGCAGAATCTTAGAAAGTAGTCTGTGGTAGCAGACTATCTGATCACCATATATTAAAGTGACACTAAACTTCCGTCTTAGGTTAAATCTTAAAAATACATTCAAGTACCATAACTATTAAAACTGTACCTTATTATATTATTGTGTATCACTTGGCTGTAGATCCTCAAATCATCTCTGAATTGGTGCTGACACTGTCCTTCCTTCTGGAGGGGGGGCTACTGTTGTCCCCCATGGTCCCTGTGTGTGTTGTTAAGTAGCCACCACTCCAAGCTCGCTCCTGTGATGGACTACAGTCTCACATTTAGTTTACTAATTTGTATTGAGATTGTAGTCCATCACAGGAGTGAGTTTGGAGCGGTGACTAAACACAAATAAGATACATTTTTGTTAATAGTTTAGGTACTTGAATGTATTTTTAAGATTTAGTTCCTGAGTTTAGTGTCACATTAAAGTATCTGGAACTGTGAAATTCAGTGGCCATTTTGTAAGAGCCTGCGTCCTAGTTGCAGTTAATACCGTCACTGACAGAGGCTGGGGACCACTGTAGTATAGAAGACTAATATCATGCTCTAATTTGTTTAAAAAGTTTACGTTTTTGTTTGCCTGAAGGGTTTTTCTTCCCAACTTGATGCCATGTAAAAAGTTTATTTTGGGTTTGAGTTTTAGTAATTGTCTGACATTAATAATACTAACCTATAGATCGCCTGATATGATGGCACATCTGTACTGTATAGTCTGCATTTGGAGCCTTGAAGTCTAACTTGGCAAGCTATAGCACACATAGAGAGATATCAAAGTACTTCTGTGTCACGGTTCAGTTGTGTTTTATAATAGAAAAATGCCTGAAAGTGCCTCAAATTGTACCAAACGTAAGCTGTACATATGTGTTCTATTTCCATAAATATACTGCTGTTGCACACATACCCCCCCCCAAATCCCCCCTAGATGCTAACCCAGGGAATACACAAGGTGTAAATCATACAGTTGAGAAGGTTTTAAGGACATCATTTGGGGCCCTCCAGTTTGCAATTGTTATTGAAAGTTGGTTTTCAGCTGGGTGGTCAGAAAGACACTGTGCAGTGTTCTAAATCTCGAAGTGCTATTTGCACCCCTTAAAACTGAAATAACTGCCTTAGATGTCATTTTAGACGGACTTAGATTGTACTTCTCACATAAGGATGATAACATGAATTGTGATTGTGACAACCAACCAGTTCTTCAGCTTTGCTGCACATTTTATTCTTTGTACATATACACATTTATAGAGATTACATCAAAATATTCAAATCATTTTCCTTGAAGGTAAATTCTAATCAAACCTGAACATTTAAACTCTGAGATGCATGGGCTACCAGGCCACCAGCTCAGTACTTCATTCAGACATTGCTGTGTAGGTGATGCTGGAAACCATCCCTTACTCCCACCCTTAAACTGGCCATAGACTGCTGTAAATTTCAGCCCAAATTTGAGCGGTGTGTGGCCCTGCAGGCACCACCAGGCTTGACAAAATGTGATTTAATACGTTTGACTTTTGTTGAAGGAACTGGGTGGAAAATTGTTGGTTGAACAGTGACTTTAGCCAATCGGCTGCAGGAACTGTTCGGTATTCTGACCGCAGCAGGTGTCAGAATACGGTAGTCCGGCAGCGCGATTCATCCATGTACACTGTTTAGCATTATTGACGGAATCTATTAGATTTCTAAAAGGTGTTTGAATTTTTTAAGTGTATAGCCAGCTTTGCATACAGAAAGCCTGGTATGAAAAAAGATTTGGCCTAGAGTGACAAAATCGAGAAGTGACATCCTCTACGCCAGGGGTGCCCACAATTTTTTGTGTTGAGATCTATTTTTCAAATGACGAGCTTCATGAGATCTACCAACGAAAAAAAACCTCCCTCGCTCTCCTGGCTGTCTCTCCCCTCTCTCTCCTAGCTGTCTCTCCCCTCTCTCTTTCCTAGCTGTCTCTCCCCTCTTTCCTGGCTGTCTCTCCTCTCTCTTTCCTGGCTGTCTCTCCTCTCTTTCCTGGCTGTCTCTCCTCTCTCTTTCCTGGCTGTCTCCTCTCTTTCCTGGCTGTCTCTCCCCGCTCTCTCTCCTGGCTCACCTTGCTATATTTAGAAAACAGTGCAGTGCAACAGGCTGTGTAATCTAATATTCTTTGATGTAATACATAGCACTACAACCAGCAGTATCCACCAGAAAGGTACCAGGGAGCTTGGCTCAGCCGACTCAGGCTAATAGGTAATCGTGTGCGCACAGCGAGATAAATATACCAGAATGGAATAAAGGGGCCGCCATTCACGCCCTTCCTGATCTACCAGGATCAGCTTCGAGAGCTACTGGTAGATCACGATCTACCTAATGGGCACCCCCTGCTCTACGCTCTGTATTAGAATGTGGTTAAGGGTCAACGTGCACATTACTATTTAGTCTCTGAAATGGCCTAATGTGGTGTTAGGCTAGACTATGGTCCGTTCCATGAGCCCTATCCTAACAAATCAAAACAAAGGAGAGCAGCCCTTGACATCTTGGTGCGGCATCTGTCACACATGCCAGCTATGACAAATGAGGCATAGGCAAATGAAATAAAGATTTATACCTGATTGGTAGAGCAGGAAGTGTGGAAAGGAAAATAAAAGCTTTTTCTTGGGATTCCGCTGTACTGGCTTTTATTGAACAGTTGAAGGCAACCACCTGCAGGGCAGTGGGGGGTAGAAGAGGGATCCAGACAGGCTGGTGGGTTCAGCTGGGTTGAGAATATGGTATAAAGGGCTGAGGGGAGAATATTGGCGTGTCACATTATTTTGCTGGAGTTCTCTTCTATGATAACTGTAAACATGGCGCAGCACTTTTGTTTTTTTAATGCACATGAACCTCCCTGGCGGTAATCCCGAGTGTGGCTCGGGGTTAATTTTCAGTACCAAAAGCGGTAACCCCGAGCCACACTCGGGATTACACTGTGCGCCACTTACCTTGTCCACGAGCCCCATTGTGTCCTCCGGCATCCGTCCTCCGGGTTCCGTCCCTTGTGAGCGTCGGAAGGGGCGGGAAATTTAAAAGCAAAAAACATAATCAGACCGCCAGGGAGGTTAATGGAATGATTTGGAGTATTCCATGTTTGTGGAGAAACGGTAGATTCCATCTCGTGATGCTGTCCTGGAAGACTAATGGAAATAGAGTTACCGGTAAGTCCTAACTCTGAATTTTAGCAAACGTTGTTGCAGCTTCTGTTCTGAAGAAATCACTGTTTACTGCAGCATGTCCTTTCCAAACGGATCCATGAATGGTAAGGGTCTGTGCTCATCCTGTGTTGTAATAAGGGAAGATGGAGTGTTGGCATCCCTTTAGTAGTAATTAAAGTGATATTGAGTTTGCAAGGGTTTTAAGCTATTTCAAATGCTAATTATTGCACTTACAATCGATGCTTCTTGGTGTTTAAAAATGTATTTCCTACTGAATCAGCTGGTCCCTTGACCACTGGCTCTGATATATTTCATGTTGGCTCCTTTCCCTTACAGGGTTCTATCGAGCCACAATAGTGTATGGTATGGAAATTATTCTATTCTGTTTTATTGGATCCACTTGAAAACTTTTCTGCACAGAACGTTAATCATTTTTCTACGAGAAGCACTACTATGAATTGGTTTTAAAACTGGTTGTTATTTGTACATTCACTCAAGGATTATAATTATAATTCTTTTTATTTTTATTTTAAATTTTTTTTATTTTTATTCATATATTTGTTTAATCACAGTGTGATCACATCATCTTAATCCACTTTTTTGATACTCACGGCATATAATTGTGTGATATTTATTTAAAATATTTAAAAATATTTTTACTTTATATATCCCGGAATCGGAATTACATCACCACAGTGTGAACATATCATTTTAACCTATATTTTTGGACATTCACTGTATATTAAGGTTTATAAGACTATTTATGATTGTGTGATATTTATTTAAAATATTTTTACTTTTATATATCCCGAAAGGGGGATTACATTTCACTTAGTATAGCGCTGCACATTCACTTTTTTCACAGTTTTTAATAGTGTATGGTAGTAAGCTGTGTGTGTGTCTCCACAAACGCACAGACACAGCAGATCAAATAATTCCCCTTCTCCATGCTAGTAGATAGTTGGCTACTGGAGACTATGCTTTCCCTTGTGATCTTGTACTGGGCAGGAAAATTCGGGGAAGCCGAGAGAGTCATCGGGTTTTCAAACGGATGACTCCAACTCTAAGTGCATGGGGAAAATGTAAAGAAATGCTTTGTTGGGCGATGTATCTTTGTTTCATTATTGAAAAAAAAAGTTAGGTTTACTACTACTACAAGGTGCAGTGTCTGTATCCCTCAGTAGTATTGAACCCTTAGGGAGTACCTACCCATAAATTAAATTCCTATTGCAAGGGATGCCAAAAATTGTACGCGTATCTTAGTGCAGACTTCTGGGGAAATCAGTCAGCCAATCACAGAATCAGGAAGTGACATTTCTAGGGGAGTTCTGTACACCAACTGTGTACAGAACGCCTCCAGGTCGCTATATTGCGTTGATTGTTTAAAAATATATATTTTTTTTTTTACAGATTTAAAAAATTACAGCAGCTACAATTTTAAATGGAAAGATCATTTTTAATAACATTAAATTACGAAATGGCTTGTGTAACAATTATATATGCTATATTAACTTTTTCAAGATAAAAAAATATATATACATTTTTTAAGTGGAGTTA